CCAAGACTAATCTTAAGCTATTATTTGGACACAGTTGAGGAATCAGGATGTGCGAACTCGATTTCGATGCTGTATTCTACTAACGAGAGTTTAGACATGCCACTTGTATCGCAAAGCGACCCTGGAACAGAAAACTTCGGCCTCGCAAATGGCCATACATTGCTGCGTCATTTACACGATCCTAGCCTCGAAGGCACACTCCAGCATCGATGGATGTTACAGAAGAAAAATGTGATGCCAGAGATTGGTTGGTCGCAGTTGCGCCGTCGTTTCTCCCCTGGTTTCGAGGATATCCTAGACGTTGGGGTAAACAATGGATGGTATGATCCTGACATTCTCATTGAAGCGTACACTGTTTTTCCTCATTGGCTTATATTCAATTACTCACCATGTTTTTCAGGTTGGTTTTCCGCTGGGTATTCATCCCTTGGCTCCAGAAGGAGTTAGATGCATACCGCGAACGCGTGAACAACACAGCTAAAAGAGCGGACCGTAACAAAGTTCTCCCTCACGGTGTGCCAAATGACATGTATACACATCCAAGGGATTATGGTGTCTTGGACTTCAAGGCATGCCAGTTTTTTATTCCCCAGCTTGTGTTAACATTCATGGTAGATTAAGGTTGATCAAGGTGCCATCGACAAAGTCAGGGCCCTGTACGCTCCAAAGGAGCATGAGGTATTTCAGTTGGTACCTCCTGACTTTCAAGCTATCATCACACAAATGTATACTGAAATGGGCCAACCTCCTGTAACTCGCAACAACTGTTGGGATGTGTATTTGCACCTCCTTGGACGGTTTCGGGCGCTGGACGACACTCATAATATCCCAGCGGACATTGACGAGCATTGGGGATATGCATTGACAGCAGCATGGGATGATTGCGCAAAGGAGATTGAACTGACACCCAATTTACGACCTCTTCGAAATGGGGACAGTGTAATTGGACCAGGTGGACTCTACTACATGGGTGGTGTAAACAATGGAGATGGCTTAAGTGATATTTCTGTCATTCAATCCTTCTCTCAGCTGATTTATATTTTCAGATGCGGAACAATCTGAACAGCTAGACCAAATGCTAAACGAGGACGAACCAGCTCGGGAGGAGGAGGATGAGGAGGAGGATGGTAATGAGTTTGAGATTTTTGCCTGGTTTTCTGACGAAGAATTTGATCGTGGATCGGATGTAGATGAGTGGTAGAGTGGTGGTTTCTCGATACATTTGAGCCCAAACTATACCAATTTATGATTTTCGATAAGCACAGTATTCTATCTTCCGAATCATTCACAGTACTTGGGCAGCACAGGATCAATTTGTATTCACAGAATTCTAACGACTAATCGGTGTATATGCAAGTCTAAGCATGTCATCTGATTGATTCGGATTCAGGATGCATTGCTAGGTTGCACTAAGTACTCTCAAAATCTGTCCTGGCTCCATTGCGAGTGACACAATTGTTTGAACCATGATGCCCAAAAAAGAAATTCGATGCCATCACTCATCACATCAGCGGAACACTCGCTAAAAAGCGTGATTCTCCGGCTTTCCATAATTTATCGCATTAATCACGCGTTGCATCACTTGACCGTTTCAACGCGTCTACATCAGCCAAACAGTCGCAAGCGCGGCGATTCTGTCGTCAAAGTAAGCCTGCGCAGCTCCGGCTTGAGCCGAAAATCCTGGTCGAAGAGGAATTGGCGCCAAGAGGCTGACGTTGTATCGAGCTTCAGTAAGGCGTCGTGCATGGGGTAGGATAGGATGCGCGGAGAATCTGGTCTAGGCAATATGGCGAGGAGGGCAGTACGGTAGGTGGGTGACGATACAGAATGATGTTTATTATTGTATGCAATAGGAAAGGTTTGTGTGAAAAGTCCGGGGGATGCCCAATCATAAAAGCTCGTCAACAGCACGGAACACAAAAACTACAGGACCCCGGCAACGCCGAGCGTTCCGAGGAACGCGCCAACAACGCCGACGAAGGTCGCGGCCCATACACCCGCGGGGACGGCGTAGCCCTTACCGTTGAACGGCACGTAAGACGCCACGGGGTTCGCGTTCGTGTTTGAACCACCGGTTCCACCGCCTGTGAGGTTGGCGCCGTTCGCCTATGAACAAATGTCAGCGGTGGTGCGGTGCAGTAAAACGAATACTGACGCCAATGGGCCGCGAGGCATCTGAGAAGGCACATGTGTCTGAGGTGCACAAACACTTTCCAGCAACAGGGTCCCAAAAGGGCGTGGAGCAGTTGGTCGGCACTTAAATAGGGTAAGCGGGCGCACTATACCGAGAGGTGGATGGATACTCACAGCGGAAACGAGCCTGCTGGCCGTCGGGAATCTGTTGAGCGGGGTTGGGGTTGCTCGTTGTCGGCGGACTTTCAGGGCAACCATACTGCGAGGAAGGCTAAATAAGCGGATGCCACTTGACGAAAGCTGGCATATCATACGCAAGTGTAGAAGGGGAAGTCTGAGAAGGCGCAGTGGGAAAGGAGACCGTCCTCGTTCTGTGGCATTCCATTGCAGACCTTCGCATCGACTTGAGGGGTGGAGCACTTGAGCGCAGCAACCGAGTCGAGTTGGGAGACGGGTACGGGGTTCCGTACCCATGCGAGGAGCTGCTCGTTTGAGACGATCCAAACTATGCAACGTCAACGCGCAAGTCCCACGGGGGAAAATAGGAGCGTACCATTCTGCTGCACCTGCGCCCAGTCAAGGAACTCGTTGATCATGTTGATGGTTGAGTTGGGCGCGTTGACACCGGGGTATGTCGTCGACAAATGAATTGGGTGGGTGTAGAGCCCGATCGGCTGACGGTTTCCGTTGTAATGTTGGGTGAAGGTGTCCTTCATGTAGGCAAGAGTCGCCGCGTCGTCGACCTTGGAACCGCCGTTTGCGATATCCAGCCACGGGTCCATGAGATGGGGCCCTGCAGGGCCGAGTTTGTCAAAGAACGCGTACATCGGAATTTCCCAGAAGCCCGGGAGCTTGGGCTCTCCCTTGCACGACCCCTCGACCATGAGGCAGTCGTTCGCCATGCCATTGTCGAGAGTGTACGGCCAGTAGGCATCGGTGCCCGGGTCTGAGACGGGGGTGGAGGCGGAAGAGCTCGAGTCATAGGTAAATCCGGCGGCAGCGAGCAGCTTCAGTGTGTTGACACTGTAGTTGAGGAATGGGGCGCGGAAGCCTGTGATGGAGGCCAAGGGAATACCGGCGAGGGCATTGAGCGCGATTAAGTTGCCGTCGATTTCGTCCTGGGGGGCGTCACCGACGTGGGTCATGGTGTGGTCGCCGATCTCATTCCCAGCAACAAACCAATCTGGTGGAAATGAGCCTTTGAAAGCACGTATGAAAGGACCACTCACCGGTAACGAGAGTGTAATTTGTGTAGTTGAGCGATGTGAAGTATGTCATTTTTGGTGCGCAGCCGTTGGGATTCTGGCGGTGAGCCAAGAACTGGTTGACAGAGTCGAGGGTGTACGACTGGACGGCGTCATCGGCGGTGAAGACGACGAACATCGGCACGTCAGACTACAAATATATAAAGTCAGCGAAAAATCCATGGAATAGAATTGAAGGGTGGAGATCGGGGGAAGGAGGAGGAGGGAACCACCAAGGAACCACGGCTAATGCAACCAAGCATTTTCCGGGATAAACGACGAAGGAACGGAACCAGAAGCACTCACAGGTTTCAATCCACCGGGTGGGTTGGTGCTTGCGCAATTACAGTTGGGCAGCTTGCACTTCGCCGGATCGCAAGAATACCCAGCAGCCTCTGCGCTCGAGGTGGGTCCGGTCACATCGCCTTCATCACCACGACGCTGCAGCCCGTGGTTGTCGTTACACCCCGGGAACACAGCGCGCGCGAGGAGCGGCGCCGTGAGGGCAAGGAGGATACGAGGGAGCATGACAAAAGAAAAAACGACAAGTCTGCGAAGAAGAAAAAGAGAGAATGTGAGGCAGAGGATCCGAGGTGGGAAGAAGAAGGAGGCCCAGCACCGCCGGCGGTAACAGGCGGCATGCCAAGCCCACCGGCAACTGGATTGTTTCAAGTTCCTTTACCTCGTTCCCGGCATCGTTTCTATAATAAACCGTTAACTTTCTCGCTGGATAACGTTTTCCTGTTCGATTTGGGCGCCGAGTTCATTTTTTTCCGAGTCCTTGAAGCTGAAGTTCAAGCAAAAATTCCGCGAACATTTCGGAGTTTCGACCCCGACGGGTCCCGGCGCCTACATAGTCCCGTGGGTCGGACGGTCTAGAATCGCCGTCTCGTATCGCCGAGATTCAGTTCTCGGCGGCCATCCGATTCCGGCTGTGGTCAAGTCTGGACAAGTTGTAATTCAATTGAAGTCTCTATGACTTTTGAAAAGGCCACCGAAGGGAATGCAATTTCCTGCCCGGACATCATAACTGACTGACAGCCATGGTCAGCTTAGCTTGAAATTCTTCGCAGCAGCATAACCTACGCGGTCTATAAATACCACACGAGGCCATCGCCATCGGACAAAACAGCCCGATGCATCGTAGAACATCAGGAAAGACGAAGGCTTTCAGAGGCTTTCCGCCTGGTGCGGGATGGCATTCAATGCGAGCGATCTGGAACTCCGGTCGGAGGAGCCTGACTTACTTACTGACTTAAGTACTGACGAAGACTGTGAAAGATAAGCCGACTCATTTCAATCCAGATCATTGAACACTAACTGAACATGCCTCTGATACGCCTGATGGCAGACTTCATGTTTCAATCTCCCCAGAACAGGCCAGTGGATGCAATCAGGCAGCGACAAACAGGGAAAAACCAGACGATGGTGAAGGAAGGAAACAAGCAAGGGAAAGTCACGCGTCACATCAAATTATTACATCACCTGACCCAATCGACGCGTCTGCATCAGCCAAGCAGTCGCCAACATCGCGCGTTCTGAGTCAAAATGAGTTGGATTTCGGAAGATTAACAGCGCGCTGTCATATCATCTGTCGTCGCTGGGCCAAAGGGATTGGTAAGACTGCCTCGCCGGGAATCGAACTCGGACTCTCCAGCTTCAGTTTTTTCAAGAGGTATGCTCAAGGTATGCTGGTGTCGTGCCACTAAACCACGAGGCTGCACTACAAGTGGATGAAATGAGGATGGTATCAGATGGGCCCCGCACGTTCGGATTATGATTCACACTCCTTATTGAATAACTGACCCTGGAGAAGAGATGAGCAATAAATTTCCGCCAACATTAACGTCCAACTTTAGCTGATTGTAACTTTTCTTTCTCAGATCGTCCTGCCCGTCGCTAATATCGACGTCAAGCGGGAAGGGATGTATAGAACAGCGTTTCCACCTATGCATTACCTGTTCAGAATATGAGGCTAGTAGCCCAGCCTGCCCAGGTTCGAGCCCGTGTGCTTATGATCAGAGCGGCAATGAAATCAAAAATTTTGGGGACATTTCATTATCTGCTGGTCCGTATCCGCACATATGATAGCAAGAATCCCAACACTCCGTACCCCCTGCAGACAGAGGCAGCATCTGTACTGAACACTCGCATCCCGCCGCCAAGATGAGTATGATCTGAGGCTGAGCCGGGGATATGTGGCACTTACTTCACCATCTTCTTCACTTCTGTGAGGCTGTGTCCTAGTTTGGAGGTCCACTGAAACGGTTTGCCTATTTTTGGAGCGGGTCTACTCTCAAATTTGCAAAGTTCACAAAAGCACTGCACTAGACAGTGAAGTGTCGAATGGTTGAAATCAAGTTGAAACATGGATATTCTGTACCGGATCCGAAAGCTGGCGAAAAGGGACACATAAGGACACGTACCCTTGAGTATACCTTGAAAAAATTCAGGGCGATACACAAAAGTTCCTGTCGTCCTGAACACGGGTTATTATGAGTACAAGACTGCGCCGCAGCGAGGTTGCACAGCATTGGCATAGCCTTGGACGAGAGTCCTTGATCTGCTTGGTCAGCTCCATGAATCTTCGACGTCAACCACCATGTCGACCAAACACGATGAATCCGAGCCTGGATCCAACCAAGAGAATCTCGCGTCAAGGAAAAGGCACCGCGCATGTGACATGTGTAGGCGCAAGAAACGTAGGTTCACCCACTTCCATCCACCAGTTTTTCTTGATGTGTAGCTATTTTAGGGCAATGTGGGTTTCCCTTCCACCTGTATACTGTTATTGCACTAAATACATCGTTCTACCTATTTCAGGCGACGGCGGTGACCGATGCACACACTGCGTCGCGCGTGATTTTACTTGCACCTATGTGGATTCAGCACCAGTAATTTTCGCGAGTGTTTGTTTCCTGTTCACAGGAACTAATCGCTGGTATCTATCTCAGGCCCGCGCAACCGCCCCCTTATACGACTTCGAAGACCTATCCGACTCCCAAGCCGCATACATCACAAATCTCCAGTCCCGCTTGGACGCCGCCCAATCCGCCCTCCGCGACTTTCAGGCCCGCCGCCAGGCCGAGCTTCCTATGTGGGCACGCGGAATCCGCAATCTAATAAAACCCTTTGCTGCCCCGCATCCTGACGACGCCGTCTTCATTGATATCGCAGACAGCTTACGCGCGCTTTCCCTCGAAAGCGCGCCACCAGATCCGGGCTTCCAGGGCAAGTCAGGCACGGGGATGCTCGTCAAGGCGGCGCTTTCAGTGAAGCCTGGAGGTACGCCTCCACCTCAGAGTCATCATGCAAGTCCGAGTCCCACCGCTGCACTACCGAAACCATGGATGCTGAGACCGGTAATTATCCTCACGACGCCTTTCTTTGCTTCCTTAATAATATTACAGTGGAGGAAAGAAAATCCGCCCCCCATTCCTGCGTTCTCGTACCCAGAACAGGAGCACATTGCCACGCTGGTAAAGCTATACTTCACGCATGTCAACCTATTCGTCCCGCTCCTTCATCGCCCGACGTTTGAGGGCTGCGTGGAGGCCCAGTTTCATTTACGGGACACGGGATTCGGGACAACGCTGCTCCTTGTCTGTGCCCTGGGTGCGTTGTACCTGCCCGTCGGTACAGAGCGTAACTACCTGCCCACCTACGGGGTACGCTCCTCGCGCGATTTCAGCCTTCCGTGGGCCCTCTACAACCAGGTACAACTCTGTGGGCATGCGCTTTACCAGCAGCCGACGCTGTATGATCTGCAGACTTATTGCGTATGTCCCAATTCTTCTTTGCCTCCGTAATTTGGTAAAGGACTGACTGCTCTGGATCTCTTGTTTTCTTTGAATTGACTTTGATATCGCGGCTTCGTCATTATTTCACAGCTAGCCGCCTCCTTCTTGCACTTCGCCGCGAATCCACGGTTCGCCTGGGCGATCATCGGGTTCGGACTCCGCCTTGCACAAGACGTCGGCGCGCATCGACGGAAGGCGAGGGGCGAAACTGTTACTGGCGAGGAGGAGCTGGAGAAGAGGGCGTTTTGGTAGGTTCATTATTCCGCTTCTGTTTTTCAAACTCTTCAAGTTCTCATTTAACTCGTCTTTCGTTTGCATTGTCGTGTTCTTCTTTGCTTTTTTTGTGGCTCTTGTTCACTCGTCTTGTCTGACGGGGACGGGCACCGCAGGATTCTTCTCCTTATGGACAACCAGCTCAGCGGCGCGCTCGGACGATCGGCGGTCATTGATCTCATCGAGTATGTCTGTTCAATTTCCCAGTTCCTTCTGCTTTCTTTTCCTTCTCGTCCAACACCACCATCGTCCACGATGCTCACTCACTCACAAAAGAATCGACATTTCCCTGCCCAACGAATGCGACGACGAGGGATGGCCATCATCTGTAACAAACATAGAGGGCTCCGCCTCGTACCGGCATCAAGCAGCCTCATCCTCGCCCTGGCGCCAGCCTTCAACCCGCCCTTCTACGCTCGCGTTCTTCAACTGCGTGCTTAACCTGTACCGCATAACGAACTTCACGCTGCGGTCCTTTGTAAGTGTCTATCTCCACGCGGATCAATGCTATATTGGACTTATCAATTAATCTTCTCGCTTTGATATTCTCAGTACTCCACAACAGTCCTCTACCGACGCAACGGCGCGTACCATTTCCCGTCCTTCGTCGTCGAGCTGGACGCCGCGCTCGACGCCTGGGTCGCTGCGATCCCGAGACACCGTGCGTGCAGTCATAACAATATCATCCTCATCCGCCACGCTGACGGTGTTTGATCCTTCGTTATTCGTTGTCCATAGTAACCTGGGACCCCACGCGCCCCAAAGGATCGTCAGCTGAATCGCAGCTCTTCTGCACGCAATCCGCCGCGCTGCACTGTTTCTACTGCTACGCGCGCATCCTCGTCCACCGCCCCTTCATTCCCGGAACGAGCCTCTTCCTGGAGCCCGTGCGTTTTATCCATCCCTTTCATAATCCCATTCATCTATCCTACTCCGAACCTTGTTGCTTCCCTTATTCTTTCTATCTTTTCATCCCACCTCTGTTTCGTTTTTCGCCCACTCATTTAGTTATGTTCCGATACAGGACCCACGCGCTCTGGATCGCTGCACGGAGGCCGCGCGCTCGTGCATCGCGGCGGCGGAGGCGCATCAGCGCTGGAGCACGGCTGATGGCCTTCTGATGTTCAGCCAGGTGCGTATGTTCCGTTCCTGTCCGTGCCCGACCTCGGGACAGTAGCCGCACTGCATGCGTCGTGGGAGTGGCGGCCATGAATGCAATACTTCCTGCTTATATTCATTAAAATCTCTAGACGCCGCTGTTCACGGCAGCCATGGTGCTAGTGCTGCGTACAAGAGGCAGTGCCAACGGCCAGACACAACCCGACCACGATATACTCAGCGACAGCGAAACCGACGACAAGACACGCATCCACACTGCCATCGCCGTGTTGACTGTGCAGCGGGAGCGGTGAGCGAAATCTGTCTCAACACCTCTACCCCTGTTCTGACCCTGAAATTTGTCGCTTCGCTCCTGACAGTTGGCCCTCGTCGGAGTTTTTCGTGTGGGTTGCTTGAGTTTATTTTCAAAGAGACATGATTTCAAGTGTGAACCCGCAGTGCGATATTGGAACGGCTCATAGGCGTCGAAGCCTCGTCGGAGGACCCGCCCAGTCTTCCTGGTGTGCCTGCCATGGGAGACTATTGCATGCCCACCGCTCCAGAAGACGGTCTCGGCCCCTTCCGTTCAGTTTCCGACCTTCATGTGAACCTGGATGACACCCATTCGCCTTTCGAGGAAGCCTCTTTCGATTCTCCCGGCGGTGGTATCTCCGGCCTGGGTTCGCATCGCCGTTCTCATCCACGAATTCGCGCTCTAAATACGAATTCCCATACCTCGCAATCGGTGGAGATTCCACCAGCGTTCATGGGCGACGCGGATATACGGGTATCTTGGCCTCGCCCTGATCTGGGCGGTTTGTCTGCGGGGAATATGTGACACTCGAAGCGACATCGACAGAACCATTTATTTTAAGTAATCCGGACCGTGCTGATTGGAAAGTCGGAAATATATTTAATCGAGGTCAATTATTCAGCTACAGATTGAATCATCGCAGCATCACAGTTTAACCTTTTTGAACATTCCTGGGATTTATTTCGAGTAGCTAGTGTGCATAATCAGCCTCCAACTGGAAAACAAGAAGAGGCCTCAGGAACTTTGCAGCGCATGACCGACATCGGCTGCACGCAACTAGAAGTAAAAGTGGACATCAAGAGCGCTCGATGAACTTCTACGACGAGTGCAGTAATCTATACGGCCGCGCAAGTTTTTTGCCGACGGCATACGTCTGGCCACTAATCTTAACTATCCCAGATTCACGTTCATTGGATATCCAACTTCGTCCTTGGCTGCTCCCTTCTAGACGTGTAGGCATTAAGTAACTCATTCCGCTCTATTTTCAAGATGTGAACATTCACGTCCCGGGGAATTCCCGGGATGGGCTCTCGTTCCAACCGTTCTCATTTCCATAGAAAATGGTTTCAAGTTCCGCTGTTAATGGTAGTTGCTCGGTGTCAGCTCAGAAGGGCCTGAGGTTTGCGGTACAACCCTAAGCTCGGCCGGTCCGAATTCTCAGGGATCAACAAGATTAGAACGATCTTCGTTCACAGGCTCGTGACCAGGAAGTAATTCTGGGTGGAGGCGCTTTAA